CCTGTGCGTCTGAGCGCTAAAGTCGAGGAAGCACATGCGTTTTGACAGGGGTTTAGTTTAAATAGTTTTGTAGCAGTTTTTTTTGCCGAATATTTTTTTTGTGGTTGTTTTTTTTAAATTTGTTTTTTTTTCTGGAAAAAAAAATTTATACCTAATGAAATTTCTCTTAAGGACTCCAGCTCACTCTTTAGGTCTGCGCTGGCGCTCCCGAGCGCCTACGTATCGCGATGGAGTGGGCTGGGACTCCAACCACGACTGACTATCGGGGTCTCAGTCATCCCACATGTCTCAGGGGGGCATGCGTGACTGCCCTTTGCTGCATTGCGGTGGGGTGCCCTGAGACCGAAAGATAGCTCAGCAAACTTGTACGCGAAGTCCAGTACACCCTTCAAGTCTGGAGGGGCATTCCATTATGCCGGCTTTGCACTGCGGTTGGGTGTGCTGGACCAAATAGCGACTTTTGTGTCTGTTTTCTTTGTACCTTATTTTCTCGTAGACTAGTGCCTTCCTAATGTTAGGGGGGTCAGCATTTCCATTGACTTTGATAAATATATATTTCCTATTTATAAACAAAGTATACCGATCTTATAAATACACGTATATAACCACGTATATGTAATTAACCAATTTCACATGTTTATTTACTAACTATATTTTGATTGATTTTTTTTTGCTTTTTCGCGCGTATATTTATATTCAATACGCGGATTGAATACATTTTGATATCTTAAATTTTTTTTGAATTTCCGCTATCAGGCACGGCAGTATCGCGCCACTCGGTTAAATCTTATGATTTTTTTTATATTTTTTTTCTCTCGGACGTTCATTCAGGCTTACGCTATCAAGCAAGCCTAATTTAACTAAACAAATTTTCTCGGATTTTCGATTTTGGGTTGAACTCTGGGGGAGCCAAGCCTTAACCACCTATTGTAGACTTTTAATTCGGATTTGATTTGACCTTAAGCGTCACGTTTCTTGCTATTCCTAATTGCATTTGTCTCACCACTGAACACTCGGTAGATGGAACAGCAGCTTAGGCAAACACGCAGTGCTTCAGTTAGAGGTAGCGGCGCAAAGTCAAGAGGGGCCGGGAGGAATACCAGTCCCGCTATGCCAGCAACTAATCCTCTGGTGATGCATTCACCTATTGCTGACCATACGGGAGGAGTTCCGCCTCCAATTCCGATGGCCAATCCCGCTCCGGGACTTCAAGTTGATAGCCGTCAAAGTTCAAATTTACTTGACACCTCACCACCTGGGACTTCGGTCCAGAATGTTTCCGCTACCTCAATGACTATGCTTTCGGGAAGACAGGAAAATGATAGGTCTTTGCCAGGGAATACCGGGTTTGGTGAAGGTATTGCAGAAGATAGAAGTAGACGTTCTAATGGCGGAGCGCCTGTAGGAGATGCGTGGGTAGGGGTGCTTCATCAGCTCTTGCGTACTTCGCAAGAAGAAATGAGAGCTGAAATGAGAACAATGCGGGAAAATATGAACGCATTAAGTGCAGTGGTAACTGCATCTCAAACTGCACCCAATGGCCCTAGGGACTTTGCTTCTATCGGACGCAATCCGACACAAGCCACTTTGAATAGTCGACCAAATTTTACCACCAACATTGTTAAGCCACAGGATTGGAAGGTATCCTATGACGGCACTGGTAGCGTTGTGGACTTTCTTTTCAAACTAAATACGTTGTGTGAGCGCACGCAATGTACAGATGAGCAGTTGATGGCAAGCTTCCACCTATTTTTGTCAGGGCGAGCTGAGGAATGGTATTGGTTGTTCACTAAGCAGAATCCAGACAGGACTTATCCCTTCTTGTGCTATTCTATCAAGCGGGAATTCGGCACCTTAAAAAGTGACCATGAGATCATGATGAAGATCTCAATGCGTCGTCAGAAGGCTAATGAATCGTATGATACGTTTCATACAGATATATTAGCCTTGAACGCTAGACTAAGGGAGCCGATGTCGGAGAACCTATTGATGGACATATTGAAGAGGAACGTTAACAGCAGCCTGAAGTTGATGCTTTTCAATGCTGGTGCGCAGACCCTACATGACCTACGTGACGTTGCTAGGAAAGGTGAACAGATCTTGAAGGAAACCAGAAGCCTGGTACCGAACTATTCAGGACGGCATGTCAACGAAACAATGACTATCACAGCGGATGAGTGGACAGGAGCAATGGATGGAGAAGTAGACCCACAAGTGGAAGCGCTAAAATTCCAGAGGACTAGGAAACCGGACTACTCAGGAATGCAGTGTTGGAACTGTGACGACACTCTTACATCTATTGCGAGGAAGCGATTCGGAACGTGTTCTGCTTCAAGTGTGGGCAGAAAGGGGTGGTCACTCCAAGATGCCCCAGAGATCATCGGAGACAGGGAAACCGGAACCCGAGCGAGAAGGCAATCGGGGATTCTCGTTCGGCACCCTAGCCCCCGAAGCAGGGAGTACAGGAGCAGCAGCCACCTGTACTAAACCAAAAAGCAAGTCAGCCTCAGCCAGAACCGTTCGTTTGCATGGAGATGTCAGTAGTTCGGAGAGTAGTACCAGTCCCTCGAGAGTTTCACCTAGGGTCATCATAACTTTTCCAGATAGTTCCGATAGTTCTGATTCCGAGTGTATGTTTTCTTCTACAGCCAATCCTCTGCAGGTTCGAATTCTTAGGCCTTCACGTAGGGATGTGGCATGCCAGACTCAATTCCCAGTTAGTTTAGAGCAAAGAGAGCAGGATTACGAACGGATAAGGGCGGATATTTTCGAAGAAGAACCAAAACTTGTAGTTTCAGAAAATATTCTTCAGTGTAGGAAAAGATATTCTAGCCGAGTTAATATGCGAAAACTTTTGCAAAGCACTAAAATTATTATAACACCAGACGAACGAACGCTAGCAAAAATTAAAATACACGATAGTTTCGTAGTGGGTTTATTAGATTCCGGAGCAAACGTTTCCATTCTTGGAAACGGATGCGAAGATTTCCTAAAGAGAAACAATTTAAAATATCATTCTTTGCGCGCGTTTGTTTACACGGCTGGTGGAAATCAGCAGCAAATACTCGGCTCGATATCTTTACCGGTCACTTTTAAAAATATTACGAGGATTATCGCTTTTATCTTGTACCGTCATTAATCCAAGAAGCATACCTGGGAGTTGATTTCTGGAAGGCATTTGCGTTAGCTCCCGATGTATTTCCAACCGTTTCTTCCATCAGCTCACACCCGATCAGAAGATAGCATTGCAAGAAGTTGTTCAGGAGTTTCCCTCGTTCGAAAAGCTAGGACTAGGTCAAACCAGTTTAGTAACGCACCATATAGACACGGGTGATGCGGTGCCAATTAAAAGTAAGCACTTTCCTCTTTCACCACCCAGGCAGGCGGAAGCCTATAGCGAAATTGAAAGGCTACTCAAGATGGGAGTGATTGAGGAATCGAATTCACCATGGTGTAGTCCAGTGGTACTAGTCCGGAAACCAGGCAAAGTCAGGCTGTGCATAGATTCCAGGAAAGTGAACGCGGTCACCAAGAAGGACTCGTATTCGTTGCCCCATATTAATGGACTGTTGAGCAGGTTAAAGGATACATACTTTATAAGTGGTATTGATTTGAAGGATGCTTTCTTCCAAATCAAATTGACGGAATCGTCTAAGGAAAAGACGGCATTTGCGGTTCCAGGAAAGCCATTGTACCACTTTAAAGTAATGCCCTTTGGCCTGTGCAACGGACCACAAACAATGAGTCGGCTGATGGATAAGGCTATTCCTTCACGGTTAAGAGAGAACGTCTTCGTCTACCTGGATGATCTGATGGTGTGCAGCTCAAGCTTTGAAGACCCTTTGGAACTGCTGAAGGAAGTGGCAAAATGCTTACGGGATGCGGTACTCACTATTAACGTGAAGAAGAGCAAGTTCTGCCAGAAGGAAATTCGATATCTCGGGTAATTGATAGGGAATGGCTTTTTGAAAGTAGACCCGGGCAAAATAGAAGCCATAAAGGATTTTCCGATTCCCAAGTCTCCTCGTCAGGTTCGCAGGTTTATAGGAATGACAAATTGGTACCGGTCGTTTATTACCAACTTTGCAGATTTGGCTGGTCCAATGACAGATTACCTTCGAAAGTCACCTGGTCCATTTAAGCTAACTCCTGAGGCAGTAGAAGCATTTAGTAAACTTAAAGTTGCACTCTGTTCAGCACCTGCCCTGGCACAACCAGATTTTTCTAAAGAATTCGTGATACAATGTGATGCATCCAAAATAGGAGTAGGAGGCGTGTTATTCCAGCTCGAAGAGGAAGGGGCAGAGCATCCAATAGCTTTTGTGTCAAAGAAGCTGAAGACTGCTCAGCGGAATTATACGGTCACCGAGCTGGAATGGCTCGCCGCAATAGTTAGTGTCAAGCGTTTCAGACCATATATTGAAGGATTGCCTTTTCGAATAATTACTGACCATTCAAGTCTCAAGTGGCTAATGACACAAAAAGACTTGAGCGGCAGGCTGGCAAGATGGTCGCTTCTATTGCAAAGATACAACTTTAGGATGGAGCATCGCAAAGGATCATTGAATGTTGTGCCGGACACCCTTTCGCGTTTTGACGTGGACGAACTCTCTTCTACCCCACCTCTAGAAATTGACTTGGCATCACCGGAATTCGACGGCGTAGAGTACTCGGAGCTTCGTGAAACAATTGAAAACAATCACGAAAGGCTACCCGATTTACGCATAGTCGAAAATAGAGTTTACAAAAGAGTAATGTTTCGAAGAGGTGTGGAAGAGGAAGGGAATTCGCTCTGGCGTTTGTGGTTACCGGAAGGGCTGACAGTGCTCGCAATCAAATGCTCATATGATTCCAATGCTAGTTACCATGGAGGTTGGCAAAAGACTTTAGAGCGTGTTCGGCAGAAATATTTTTGGCCGCAAATGGCAAAGGACATACGCCTCTATGTAAACCGTTGCGAAACCTGCAAAGCCGTGAAAGCCACCAATCAAGTGTCCAGACCACCTATGGGCAATGCCTTCGTATCTGAGAGGCCATTCCAGCGTCTTTATTGCGATTTCTTAGGTCCATATCCAGGATCAAAGCGAAGAAACCAGTTTTTGTTCATAGTGCTAGACCATTTTTCCAAATACGTTTTTTTTTTAAGCCGATGCAAAACGCGACGTCGGCAAATGTAATTAGCTTCTTTAGTACAGAGATTTTTCCAGCTTTCGGGGTCCCTCAATTCTTCAATAGTGATAACGGGAAGCAATTCATTTCGAAGGAGATGCAGCAGTTTTTTAAAAGCTATGGGGTTGTTCACATTAAGACGGGGTTATACTCACCGCAGGCTAACGCCTCTGAACGAGTGAACAGAGAGATTGTTTCGAAAGTTAGAATATTCCTAAAGGACAAGCAAGATCACATGGACTGGGACAAACACATTCCCGAAATTCTGTCGGTTTTAAGAAGCGATTACCATACGTCGATTCAGAGCTCGCCATACTTCGCGTTATTTGGACAAAATATGATACAACATGCGTCAGCCTATAGCATACTGGAGAAACTGGGTAGCCTAAGACAAGACGAAGTCCCGATTACAAGCAGAGCTGACAAGTTAGCAAACATTCGCGAACACATATGAAAGAACCTTGAGCTAGCGCAAGACAGAGCAGCGAACACGTACAACAAACGTACGCGGGTTGTGAATTGCCGGGAAGGACAAGAAGTATTCCGGAAAAACTTCGCTCTTAGCAATTTTAAGCAAGGCATAAATGTTAAATTCTTGCCTAAATATATCAAGTGTCGTGTTTTGCGAAAGGTAGGCAATGCTTTGTACGATTTAGAGGACTTGAATGGCAAACCGATCGGTGGGTTCCATGCATCTGACATCCGGCCGTGACAATGTCATCCGTCACGAAGAGCCATCCGAAAGTAAAGTAGTTTTTTTCCCAAAATTTAATAATCACGTTTTTTCTCAAATTTATATATATACACGTTTTTGCAAATATTAAACTCAGCGATAGGGTAAAACCTTGACCGCCCTCAGACTGCCCGGGGTCCAACTTTGCATGGCTTTTCCTCGAAGCTAAGTCATGTAGGGCTGTAACTCGCTTCTGTAACTCTTCCCTACCAATCATTTCTCTGCGGGTAGAGAATATACGTCATTCTCTACTACTCATTAGAGAATCGGGACAGAAACGAGCTACTGGACTAGCGGAGGGGCCGTACTGTGAAGACCGACTAAGTTCGGCAATTGGGGAGTGGCTAACTCTAGCCAACGAAAGTAAATAGAGTATCTTTTTTTCTCTTACTGTCCTTTTCACAGGGCGCTTTGGCGGTCGGGGACAAACCGCCCAGTATCCTCCCCGAGCATCTATATTCATAGGACGTTCACGCGCGCTCCCACCGGGAGTCGTGAACTGCCTGACAATCCGCGCTCCCATTAGGATTGTCTTTTAGGAGTTTTGACGAGTTCTCCTTATCAAAATGTCTAAAGCCTTTCGGAGTTTTGACGAGTTCTCCTTATCAAAATGTCTAATGTCTTTCGGAGTTTTGACGAGTTCTCCTTTAAGAAAATGTCTCTTGGGCCGCAAAGCCATAATGAATAGGAAACAAAATAAATATATACACGTTTTTCCCAGCCGCCGGACGGCTATAAACTCGCGGCCAAGTGTCCTTTTCAGGACAGCCTGCCCTGTGTTCTCCTTAGTGGTGTTGAACTAGTGGGGGGCAGGGTGTAAAGACCGACTAAGTTCGGCACTTTGGGGGGGTAGGCTTCTCTGGCTCAAAACAATAGAGAACCACCGCAACACCGGACTTGAATTTTTTCCCCAGAGCTTGCTCGGTATAATTCTAACTCAGTCATTTCGAAAAGAACGCTATATCAATCCATACTAGTCACACAACCGGGATTGAGTTCCGAGTCGAATATGCTAGGCGAACTCTGACCTAACTTTTATTTTCTTTTTCAATTTCTACCAGAATTACGGAAACCACCCTGACTTACTAAAACCCCAGATAGAACCTTTTAAACCATTAAATTCATTGCTTTACAAATACAAGAATGATAGGAGCCGACTCAGTACTGACTAAATCAGTAGACTTATTGTTCCGGAGACCGACTAGGCAAAACTGATCCACCCAGCATTACAAGCGAATACTGTCGCGGAAAATAGCTCAAGCATTAACTCCAGTGATCCCGTATCATAGAACTAAAACTTATTGATCTACCAATACTGAGTCTGACGAACCCTAACTGTCACCTGACGTAACTCCGAGATAGTAATGTTTTGCCCGGCTAAATACTTCTTATTTTTGAGACTCTATATCTCAGGGGTGAGTCGTGCCCCACGTTCTTGTGATGTTACCACCTAACTCTCTTGCGGACGCCTTGCGAAGACAGTTAACCCTTTTTCCTGTTCGCTTCCGTGACAAGTCGGGAAGTGAAGCAGGTTTGTTATGGGTTACTGTTCGCCGCACAAAATATAAATACTCAATTCTTCGGCGTATAGTGAACCCGGTAGCGTCCCATTAATTTCACCCTCTAATAAATTTTCTAGAGCGTACGGCAACACCAAAACTCCATGGAAGGTTTCCATTTGGGCGATAGCTGTGTTCCTTGCGGACAGTGTCGCTGATTGTCACTACTTCCTGCAGGTCTGTTCGTCTATTTTTTTTTCGGTTAATTAACGATTTCCCGCGGAGGCTGGTGATAGTTGCGACAACTGTCTGAAACTGCCGTCTTCACGGGATGGAGTTTATGTCTTGACACATATGTTGGAGTGTGGAGAGCAATATATGTCGGGGCTTGTATCTTGGCATCTATTGCGGTAGCTTGCTAGTTTGACAGCTGCGTTTTCCTTTGCACTGAAGCTTTCTGGTGGCGGCAGTATCCATAGTTTGACATACGGCATGTGCCACAAATGCAGAAGCTTTATTTTTGTGTGTTGCTGAAATCCTTAAATTTACATATATTTTATAACTTGCAAGTAACATACGTTATTTTTGTTTTTATCAGATTCCATTTTAATTTTCACTTTTTTACCGCCAATAATATTCTGCCTTATCCTGAGTTTCGAAAATTTTTCATCCGCCGTAGTAAATACATAAAAACCAAAGGTGAAAAGTGAACTGGTTCGGGGAAAATGGAACTCATGATAAGGCTGAATACATTCGTGACGTTCGTATTCACCACGAAAATGTCGAATTTTTATTCTGATTCGTCGAAGGTTCCACCATTCTATCAATTGGCACGGCCCATAGAAGCAAATGTTGAGCGTCTTCCATTTAATCGCTTTGAAAATTTAGAAAATAGGTTCTTTTACATCCAGGTACATAATGACAAATATTTTAATAGAAGACAACTCAGTTTTTGCTTTTATATTAAAATATCGATAGTGTTGCCGCCATGACGTTTTCCGTGCAAATGGGAATGCTGGCTATTTCCGTTATTTAAGAAGGCACATTAGGGACTTTTATTATGGGGCTGCTGATATTAGGGTGCCAGCACCAGGCACCACAATACCAGCGGTGGTGCCTCATATTCGGCCTTAGGTTTTTTTTCGGGTTCATTCTTTTTATTTCAGAGTTTTAGTTTGGTTTTTGTTTATTTTGATTTTCAGTTTATTTTAAATGGAATGTTTAACGTTCTTTTTCAGCTTTTTTTGTTTGTAACGTTTTTTTTTGAATTTTTGGAATTGTGTCCGGCCGATACTTCCGGCCATGCCGGAAGCGAAGATGTTTGACAGGCATGACTTTTCTCTGCTATGGCGCAGGGAACAGTAGTGAGGGCAAGAACCCCGCCCAGCCGACATGACTAGCCACAGTGCTCCCTTTTTGTCATGCCGCCTGCACTCACTACTGCTCTCATGTATGCGTACCATAACACGTTCCAGAAACCGCTACTTGGGACTTGCCGATTTTGACAATTCTCAAGTAAAAGTAAACAACGCTATAGAAACTTTAGATGCGCTGATATTTGCTAATACTTTCACAAAAATTGCCGTTTTTTAACATTTTCGCTATTAATTCTTTTTAGAAATCATATATTTTGCAATTTAACACAATATTGAGAATATTGAGACAATTTACTATTTTACAGTTTATTTTATCCTGCCATTTTGCCTGTTCTTAGTGTTTAGTGTTGGAAAATGTTTGCTCTTAAAATTAAGAAAATTATATCGAGCAAAAATAAAACTAATCAAAAACGCGAATATGTGGTAGATTTCCGACCTTGTGTGGTAGATGCTCAAAAACGTGGCAGATCTACCACAATGTGATAGAAGTCGGATCAAGTGATTGATTGTATCAAATTGTTCGAATCGAACCAAAAATATGTTGCGTGTATACATACCCAGCAAGAACGACCTAACGCATTCTCCAATACACTTACAAAATTTTCAATAAAAACCAACACATTTGCATATTAGCCATATCCATATGCTATTATTTGCGTTATATAACGCATTATTAATCGCATAATAATATTTGATTGAAAAGAGACAAATACATATAGAATAATATAATAGCCAATTCCATGTAAAAGAAAGAAAAAACTACTCACACGTGAAACGATTATGCGTTAGATTTCTCCAGGAGCCCTATGTAAAATTATGGAAAGTTTTTGAATTTCTCACACAAATTATTTGTAGTACTAGGCGTATATAACGCGTTAGTTAACAGATAGGGTTCTTACTGGCCATGTATATATGTACATGTATGCATATGTACGAACGAACATTTCCTTACGCTGCAAGATTGGTTGCGATGA